ATGCTTCCTGACTGGCTACAAGGCTAACAGCTTCCTGATGGGTCTGGCAACAGGCCTTTCACTTTTCCTGTGATGGACCGTATCCCTCTAAACTGTAAGTGGAAATAAACCTTCCCCTTCTTAACTTACTTCTTGACAGGTATTTTGATCACAGTCATTAGAAAGTAGTGAATAGAAGTCTATGTGAATTAACATATGCAAAGCTCTCAGAATACTGCTGGTAAGTAAGAGATGATGGGCGTCGGTGATTAATATTACCATGCTCAGCTTTGCAGTAGGCCTGATAGATATGATAGCAATGGAACATTGTCTCAGCGCTTTATAAAAAAATTATATAATTTGAGAGGGAGGTTCAGCGATAACTACAGAAATAAACATGATTAAATACATTTGGTAAGATAATAGAATTTGAGAAGTATTTTGAGAACATAAACGACTAACTGCCTTATCACGGAGAATCCAACCAAATCGGAAATAATCAGGCACCTAAAGGGCAGTATTGTGGTTGATATACATGAGTCCTTTTCTTGCCACATGAAATTTGATACTTTCTGAGCTCGGGTCTGGGATTCTCCTTTGTGCTGGCTTTTCCCAGATGATCACATCCATCCACACTCATGGCTCAACTCTTGCCTCTCCAATCAACAGAGCGCCTGAACTGTACGTGCCTCGAGGTCTCATACAGACGGTATCTAAATCCACACTCTGCATCTCTGCCCCACTCACACCAGCTTCAAACCCCAGCTGTGTTGTTCCAGCCATCTGTCCTTTTCAAACCCATTGCACTGGGGCTGGTGAGATAGCTCAGCGGGTAGTGTTTGCTGTGCAAGTGCGTGGACCTGCCTGAGCACTGTAGAGCCCGTGTGCAAGCCTCCAGGTATGTCTGTAATCCCCATGTGCCACCAACCAGATGGAAGGTGGAGACTGGAGGGTCCCTGGGAGCTCTCAAGTCAGTCAGGCAGTCGTGAACAAGACACCCTGTCTCTAACAAGAGGAAAAATGAGGACCAACACCCAAGGTTGTCCTCTGATCTGCATGTGTGCTGTGGCATGTGAGTCCCCACAAGCACACACACACACATGCACACCTACACACAAATGCATCACATACACATACATGTGCACATACAGTTGAAGTGAAGCCAAGCAAGACGACATGTTCTCAGAGCTAGTAAGTCAGAAGAGCTGCAATCCGATCTCTGATGGCCCTGTGCTAAGAATTCACATCTACCACCCAGGCCCATGAGTCTTGCCTATAAAATGAAGAAAGTTAAGTAAACTTCACAGCACAGATGAATAAATGTCAGACTTGTTTCAGGACTTTCTACCATCATTAAACGCTTTACTCTTCTTGTACCTTCCAGAAATTTCTTCTTTTTCTCTGAGACTATAACGTAAAAGGCAGCCGTAACTCCAATTTAACTTCTGTCACACTAACTTGTGCCTTTCATCTATCTTAGAAATGCATGATGGGCTAGGGGAGATGGCTCAGTCAGCCAACACTTTGTCTCTCAAGTGTAAGGGCCTGAGTTTAGATCCTGAGGACAAGGTCTACCTGTAACCTCAGTGACAGCAGATTGGAGGTGAAGATAGCTGGAACCCTGGAAGCTTCCAGGACCAGCAAGCCTGGCCTGCATGGTGAAACTCCAGGCCAATGGGAGACAGTGTCTCAAAGAAAAGGTGAACTAGAGAATCAGTATCCAAGGTTGTCTTCTGATCTCTATATGTGTGCCATGCATGCACACACATACACATGAACATACATGCACACCTGTACACTCATACCCACATATGAACATATGTACACACACACTCACACACATATATGAACATACATGCACATACACACTCACATCCACATATGAACATATATGCACACATATATTAGCATACTTGCACACACACTCATACCCACATATGAACATACAAGCATACCCACACACACATATGAACGAACATACATGTGTGTGCACACACACATCTACACACACAATGAAAGGACCTTTTTCTGAGGAACCACAGTAGAGCTTGTGGGCAGCCTGCAGTGTGTCCTTCTTTCTCCTCTGGTATCTCTGTGCTCTCTGAGGCCCTGTGCAAAGCTAACATTCCCTCCAAATTTCAGATCCCTCGTCACCTAGGACATGCCTTGTTTCAACAGTTCTCAGCTTATTTTTATCACAGAAACTACGTTTTGCAACACTCAATTTCCTTTCCATTCTCTCTTTTTTTTTTTCAGAAATAGGAACCAATTTGATTGGATGTGAGAGCAGGAGAGGTAGAGATGTGGCAAGGTTTTAAATGGTGAGAAATTTGTCTCAGCTACCTGGGTTTGAGAGGCAAATTGTGACTTGTCCGCTCACTCTGCATTGAACTGTACAAGCTAGATGAACCAAAACTCACCACTGACTAGCCTGTCTTCTCTCCTCCAAGTCAATCAAATACTGATGAATTTGCCTATTTTATGTTTCCTCTGACTATTCAGATCAATAACTGGAAGTTTTGTAAAGGTATATACGTGCAGATGGTTACCCTTGAAATTTCAAACTTCTTGGATATTTTTTTTTAAGACAGGGTCTCACTGTATAGTCTTGACACGTAGACTAGGCTAGCCCCAGACACAGAGATCCACTTGTCTGTGCAGCCTGAGTGTGGCCATGAGACGTACAGCCCTCAGCTCTTAATGAGGTAGGAGGCAAGGCTAAGAAACAAATCTGTACATCGATTGTTCCCTAGTCTGTATCTGAAAGTTCACATCTGAATATAGACTGCTGTTCCAACAGAACAGCAGACCCAGGCCCCAGAACCCGGCACTCAGTAAGTGCATAACAAAGTGGATACTTGCTAAACATATGTTGAATCTATAGAATGCCTCCATTGTCTGCTCATTAAGTTTACTACACACAAACACACACACACACTCACAGAAAAGGAGAGAGGGAGAGGGGAAGACAGAGATATTGAGAGGCAAAGAGTTCTGAGCCCTTAGAGGAAGACTTTTATGCTTAATTCTCCCCCCCCCCCCACCACCATGTTTCCTAAACAGAACTGTCAAGTGACAGGTGACCACCACATAACTGTCAGATTGCACTGACTCCCATTTCTCGTCTCTCCCACCTTCCTCTGCCCCGCCTTGTTCATTTGACCCCCAAGCAGGAACCCTTCCAAGAGTCTTACATCTCAGTCAAATATCAGAGCTCCAGATACCTTAAAGTTCTTTAAACCAAGCTCAGAATTAAAAATTTAAATATACTCATTCTGTAAGTAATTTTGTGACCAGCTAACTGCCATCCCAGGGGGAGGGAAAAACCGTAAGCTTAATGAGTCTGGTCAGACACACCACATAACAGATGTCCAACGTGCCGCCGTGAGCGTAAGTCATAAATATGATGTCTCTCTTTGGCAGCGAAAAATATATGAGAAGTGTTTTATCGGTCACTGGGCAACTTGCTAGATGGAGGAGAACAATCTGAGGAAGGCAGGAGCTTCGTCTGGCTGCATTTCGAAAGCCGAGTTGGAGAAACACAGATAATCTGCTTGCAATGATTCATCAAGTTGGTCCTTTGTTTCATTAATTTGAGTGTCAAGTGCAGCCATACAATAAAGAATTGCCAAGACCCGATAAGATTCTCCTCTGCCTGCTGCCTTTCCTGTCCAGACAACGGGCACTATTCATGCCCACAGCACACATTGAATAAATAGCTAAATAGCTAACTGCACTGCTGGCAATATTGGATAGTACTTCGAATTTTTGTGTTTTCCCTGAAAGGTTCCATGGCAGGTGCTTCTGTCTCCTCAGTGTTAGTTACTGAACCAATAATTTTAACTTTGTTAATAGAGTTTGGACGTGGGCCTCACAAGTTAAAAATAGTCCCCATTGTGCCATCCATCCAGCAGTAGATTAGAGAAGATTAAAGCGGGCGGGGGGGGGGGGTTTGAGATGGCTCTGCTGGCCTTGAGAAAGCTCTCGCTGTGCCTGCCCATGGTTCAGGTGGCCTGCTGATCGTTCTTAACGTGATCTTCAGCCTCACACCCATACAAGTACAATGTTAAGAGAGACATTAAGACAACTGTGTTCACTGAACAATTTCACATGGCTAAAGTATGTTTTCAGCTAAATTAGAAGTTTAACAAATGCTTGCTCTGATGAGAGGTAGGGACAAGAGCTTACTTTGAACAGGCTACTGGTCTGAACTCAGCACTGAACAATGATCCGGCTTTTAACTCGAATCCAAGTCCTGGTTGTGAAAGTATACACCCTCAGTCCTGATTGTGAAATTATACACCCTCAGTCAGTGCACCTGACAGCAGGAGGATGCGTCAGAGCCTTCAGGTTCTTAGGATACAAGAGCATTTTTTATCGTCAACAGCTAATATTTCTTTACCGACATTAGAAAGACTCTACAGTTCCTGGTTAATCACATGAATAGAATGCACCGAGTGTTTCAAAAACTTTAAAATCATTTAAATGAGCACCAGGGACCTCAAAGGTTGAGTAGAAATATAAATTGTGTTCTTGGAAGCAAATGATGAATGAAGTCATTTACATGAAAGAATACGGTCCAAAGGAAGCATGAGACTAACGATTTGTCAAAGCAAAATTAGGGAGGGAAAGGACGTTTGAAAACAACTAGAAATTATTACAGCGGCATAATTGTTAAGGAAAACAATCCCATGATAGCATTTGCCAAGCTGCAAACACAAATACAAATTTAAATAGATCTATTGACATTTGGGAGGTTAACTTGTTTTTTTTATTAAAAATTACAAACCTGAAATTTTAGTAAATTTTCAAATGACTGCCATATACAGGATCAAACTGGGTTCTGCGTCCTTTTAGCTTGATAGCCCCATAGAAAGATAATAAATCTTCAAACCAAGTAATGAGTGCACCTTTATGGCAACTGTCTTGCCCTAGAAATTCCACTTCACTGAGAAGATGGTTTGGGGGTTGGGAGGGGGACTGCAGAGGACTCTAGGACCCAGCAGGCGGCGGCAGGCGGCAGTGTGTGGATCGCTGAGACTCAGAGGGTCCGGCTCAGTTTTAAGTCTCCTCTAATCTCTGCAACAGCAGCGCTTCCCAGGTCCCGCGGCTCCTGCTCCCGCTCAGCCGCTGTCACTGACAGGTGAGCATCTGAGCAGCCTCCGCCCCATCACCCACCATGGACAACCTCCAAGAAAAAGTGGCTCCGGACGCGCTTGCCTGAGAATTCCGCACAAAAGAGGAGCCCAAAATGAAGACCCTGATGGTGAGTCTGTTGTTCCAACTCCGCCAAGCAGAGGCGAGGACCCCTGGGATTCTGGGTCTCTGGGACCATCTGGGAAACCTTGCTGGGTACCTAGTCCTGTGCCGAGAGGTCACCTGTCATTGGTGACAACTTTCTACCTGGCTTGGAACCCTGGATGGGCACTAGGGATGCCTGGGCTCCTGGATCTTTAGCGTGTGACCCAAGGGACGACTGGAGAGCAGAAGAGCGGGCTGACCTCTCCAGGAATGGAGGGTGTCCCACTGTGACCGCTGGGCACAAACTCAGAGGGGCGGGGAGGAGGCACCATCGTTGACTTTCTTGGTTTCCTTGTCGGATTTCAAACTTAGCGGGGATCGCTACAGGAAGCCCCAGGGGGCCAGAAGAGAGGGTGTGCGGAGGGTTGGGAATCCCAGCAGCTTAGGTGGAGACCAGATCCTCCTTCCCCAAAGTACCCTGGGCGGGCGGTCTCACCCTTGCACTGGTCACCGCGCGCCACCTGCCCTCCACTGTGAGACGCGGGCTGTGAGCAGTGATGCAGGAGCATCCCTGGCGGGTGCGCAAGACCATATCACCTCTCCTCTCTGACTGCGGGGAAGGCTGGGGCGGATGCTCCGGACCTGCACTTGGTGTCAATAAGGAGCGCAAGCTTCCTCGGTGCTCCCTCAGCCGCTGTCTTCTGCTCTCTCTCGCCCGCCTGCCCGCAGCGCCATGGTCTGGCAGTGTGTTTAGTGCTCACTACCATGTGCACCAGCTTGTTGCTCGTGTACAGCAGCCTCGGCAGCCAGAAGGAGCGGCCCCCGCAGCAGCAGCAGCAGCAGCAGCAGCAGCAGCAGCAGCAGGCGACCGCGACTGGCAGCACGCAGCTTGTGGAGAGCAGTCCCCAGCCACATAGAACCGCCCCCGCAGGACCCCGGCAGCTAGACGGATACCTCGGTGTAGCAGACCACAAGGTGACAGCTTGTGCGCGATCCTGCCCACCGCCGCTCGGCCTGGGCACTCTATACCTGACCCTTCCTCCCTCCTGGGGCGGTGAGACGCGGGAGCAGGTGTTAGTTCTGGAAGCAGGAAGGTAGTACACCAGTATGAGCAGGAAGGGCTGCATGATAGTTATGACTTTCTATTCCAAGAAGGATGCAAAGTTTATCAGGGAATAGGAATGATGTGAGTGGATCCGGAACCCCAACGGTCCTGGTCTAGAATCCGGACACCCAGTAATAGCAGCTGCAGATGGATGTTCGGTTTCTGGAGCCTAGTATTTTCCAGCCAAGCCCTGCGGATTGGGGGTGGAAGGTAGGAGGAAACCGGAATGGTTCAGGGACTAGCCCCGTGGTTCCTTCCATACCGCCAGAGGGGAGAAGAGAGAGCCTCTAAGGCAGCTCAGTTCCACAGGTTCTCTGATCTCTGCTGGGGACTGCTCTGGGCTGAAAGGCCCAAGTCCCTGGGGAGTCCATCTCTGGCAGGCAAAGAGGGCTGGAAATATACTCAGCTCCCATTGGCTTAAAAGCCTGTTTTCCTTTGCCTTCCAGGAAGCTACGGCATGGCTTGGCTAATAATTAATAAGCTGGATTTCTTTTTCCTTTAAGTTGAACCTCCTTTCTTTAGACTAATAAATAAATCTCTGGTTTCACCGTAGGAAGCCTCTGGGAAAAACCTAATCAGATTTCCTGATTCCAAAGATGTTTTAATACAATTCAAATGCATCTCTGATTATTTGAAATTGCCAGTGTGTTTTTATTAAAACACACTTTCCCTCCCTGTCTAGAAGATGGCTTGAAACCTCTCGATTCTTTTACTTTGCATCTTACTGCATTTTATGAATGTGAGCCAAAGTGATATCTGCAGGTGTTCTTTCTGTGTGAGAAGATAGCTCTTGTCACATATGAGTAAGTCAGACTTTAAGTGACAATCAAAATATTGCAACTCACTTGTGCTGTATAGGATGCTAAAGATGGGGGACTCCAAAGGGATTGCATGCAGAACTCAGCTTTCCCATCCTTGAATGCCAGAGGAAAACAGGGCATGTCGTGAGATGTGTAACAAGATACACTGGTAGACAAATGTGTGCAGTCACTAGTACACACAGCGCTCCGGGGTTCACCAAGGAGGGAGCTCACATTCTCTGGAAGAAGCGAGGGATATTTCTTTGAAAATGTGGAAGTTGTACTAGAAAGACTTCAGCGAGGTGGACAGGAGGAGGCTGTCTGAGGAGGAAGCCTTTGGTGTAGACTGTAAATGCCAGAGCACAGGCCTCACAGACACAGTTTCTGTTTGCTCTCTTGGCTGTTGATTGATGACATACTTGGGATCTTCAAGTGCAAGCTGCTGACACGGGCTGTGGCTGGGAGGAAGCTTAGCCCTGGCTTCTGGCTGGGGAAGGGGATGACATTCTGTGTGGATCACTGGCATGAGATGAACAAAGTACGGCACTGGATTTTCACACTCGTTGTTTAGTAGGAACCCACCTCAAATTCTGCAAGTATTTGTGAATCAGAAATGTCAAAAGGTGAATGCCTTGCAAGCTCTGATGGGTATGAGAAGATACCCTGAATACTGTGTTCCTTCCATAGCCTAGTGGTCAACTGTTCCCAAATAGAAAGGCTGAGTTAAGGAGTCACCTTTTAAAAATGCTTATGTAAACAGGTGTGCTGGTTACAAGTTCAGCGTATCAGAGAGTTGTGTGGTTAGGGCAAACAGCAGCCATTCCATGTGTGGCAGTGCCTGTAGATGGAAGTACTCTGTAGCAGAAAAGGAAGCTGCAAATGCCATGACATGGAATTCTTCTTGACCTATAAATTATCAATATCAATCCAGTTCATCCCTTGAAAACAACATCTCCCAGGAGGTACGCTCACATCTGCAATCCCAACACAATGGAGTATGAGGCAGGTGAATGGCAAGCTTGAGGTCAGACTGAGTTACATAGGGGTATCCTGTGTCAAAGTCCAAAAGAAGCAGTAGAGGGAGGAAGGGGAAAAGAGACAGAAGGAAAGAAAATAAAGAGGAGAGGAGGAAGTGAAGAAGGAAGAAGGAAAGGGAGGGAGGGGAGAAAGGGCAGAAGAAGGAAAAAAGAGAAATAAGTGAAGAAAGATGGAGGGAAGAGAACAGAGATGAAGGAAAGAAGGAAGGAGGGAGGGAAGAGGAAGGAGAGGAGGAGGGAAGGAGGAAGAAAAGAAGGGGAAGAGAGGAAGGAAAGAAGGAAGGAGGAAGGAAAGGGAGGGAAGGAAGAAGGAAAGAAAGAGGGAAGGAAAAAGGAAAGAAGGAAGGAAAAAAATGAAAGAAGGAAGAGAGGAAGGAAATAGGAAGAGAGGGAAGAAAGAAATGGCAGAAGGAAGAAAGAAAAAAGCAAGGAAAGAAGAGAAGGAGTGAGTGAGGAAAGAAGGGAGAGACAAGGAAGGAAGAGGAGAGGAAATCCACCTCAAAAGTTCCACTCCAAGTCTGTAAACAGAGACCACACAAAGCAACAAGTGCAAATCCCAAGGCACTATGGGAAAGGTCCCTTTCCCTCAAGGAGCTAATGCAGTCCTGCTCAAAGAGGCCTCCACAAGTCTCTTTACTGCAGGACTCCCATTCCATGTGGCTACCTGAGGTGCACGTCCTGAGCAAACACCTAGAAGCTGCTCTTGGATTTAGTTTTGCTTTAGATCCTCCAGTCTCCATCAGGCAAGGCTGTGGGAAGGCTGTCACTGAAATCATTTGTTAGGGTGTTGCTAAAGAGAACCTTTTCTCTGGGCTAACACAGAACAGAGTCAGGAAGGAGAGCTCTCCTGTTCTGAGCACCCTGCCACAGGACACTCAGGACTAATTTTTTTCTGTTCAATCTCATGTCAGGCCTCAGAAAAATCACAGACACACTGAGTGTGATGACCACAAGGCCATAAGCTCCTGCACATTAAATAAACCAGAATTTCAACAGACGTCAGTTTTGCTGTTGATTCACGGAGCCTGTAGGGAGTTAAAGATACTCCAGATATCGATACAGTATCTCCAGTTACAGATACTGTGTAGGAAACACATCTCCACAGCTCAGGTCCCCAAGACTAATAAATATGTAGTGTTTATGTTTGGCTACATGGTGGAATTAGCATTATAATTCCAAGATTAAATTCAACAGGTGGCCCTAATCCCCCAGCACCTGAATTTTGCAAAGTACAGGTTGTCTGAACTGATATTCTTGTCACCTGGGACTGTGAACTAAATTTCTGTTGAGATCCAATCACGGAGTGATTTTTGTCAAATGATAGGCTGAGTCAAGCTGGCGTTAAGCTTGAGATATCCCTTTGCCTGGTCATATGCCCTGCCCCCTCATTCATAGACAAGATGCTAAGAATGATAATCCTGGCATGAGTACACAAAGACCACTCAAGAAGAAGTTGCTTTTCTGTTGAGTAGAGTTGCTGTCTCTCCTAGTCTCCTAGTCTCTCTCATTTCCACTCATTGGGTGTTGATCACAGCAGCACTTGCATCTGTATTCAGAGGTTACTCTTAGGTTGTAAGTTTTGGAAGCTGTCCATGGTTACTGGTCAGGTACAAGAGAATTTTTTATATCCTTGGGAAACTCCCTCATTTAGTATTCTAGCATAATATAACCAAACAAAATACAGAGGCACACAGACTTACAGAGCAGCATCCACACATGCTTGTGCATGGATTCTCTCTATCTCTCTGTCTCTCTGTCTCTACACACACACACACACACACACACACACACACACACACACACACACA